GTGGAGAACCCTCACTCCGCGCAAGGGGGATGATCGCACCACGTTGTGTTAAAATGGTCAAGCACCCTTGAGGCAGTTACACAGTGCTTACAACTGTCTCTGAAAGTGAAAGCACCAGAAAATAAATTAACTCATACGCAGCTGTCATCCATACGCAAGGAAGTAAGCACAATATGCCGAACACCCTTAGCACGATGCAGCATACCCTTCATGCGACTCGCCGAATATCTCACGGCGCTTCGCGCTCGGTGATGTGAGAGCCTGGTCCGGTGAGAACCCGGCGTGNCCCCCATGCTGCCCCCTCACGGGGTCCGAGTTCATGGCAGATAGAGGTGTTTGGTGTTTTCAACCGCACTGAGACTGACGCCTTTTCATTGGTCAGCCGGTTAGCGGGGTCGATGCTAGTAAACACACTCACACACACACACACACACACGCACGCAGGCACAGCACAACCCTGTCGTCATCATCCCGGGAGGGCCAGGATTGCCCCACGACTACCTCGAGACGCTGGAGGGGGCGGCGATGGAGGACCGCGTGGTACTGCTCTTCGACCCCGTGGGCACGGGCAACTCGTCGGCCCTTCCGTCCGTCGACGCCGCGGCGGACTCGCCCAACCTTCTTGGCACTGCGTCCCTCGTCGCGCAGGTGATGCTCGGTGCACTGTCAATCATTAAGAATATGTACTTACAGCAGCTGTTTTCAGGCCACGAGCGACGACGAGAGAATCCAGCGGGCGGATATCATTGGGGCGATTTTTCGGAGCATGTTGGAACTCCTTGGCGTAGTCAGTTCCAATTCAGCATTGAGCCGTAGCTCCATCGAAGCAGAGTCGCAAAGTAGGAAAATTGATGGTCCTTGCGCGAATGTTTTGTTCTCTTGGCTACCATCCTTCTTTGCCCCGCTTGTCATACCCCCACCTCCCACCCACCCCGCCTCGCCCCGCCCCGCCCCGCCCCTGTTTCTTCTTCTGCGCGCGCCACGCCCTTTCTCCTCGTTCGCTTTCCGACAAGAACAGACCCGTGCGGTCGTTGACTTCTTCAAGGTCAACGCGTTCCATGTGCTAGGACACGGCACGGGCGCAGAGGCCGCCCTAGAGCTCGGCAGGAGCTTGGGCAAGGCCTCCCCCCGCCCCCCGGGGCCTGAGCCAGAAGCGATCCTGTCGGTGATCCTGGCCAGCCCGGTGTTGGGCGAAAACGAGCTGTCGCCTGACTTCCTAGAAGCGCTCAGGACTCCTTACATCAAGGATGGGAACGAGGTCGGTGTTGGTCTTGCGGTCCAGACTGAAATTGTTCGGCACTCAGCATTTTTTTATTGATATAACGCCGTATTTCGGCAATAACGGGCGTGCGCTTTGACGCATGCAGGATTTACCAGGACGACACAGTAGTTGTTTTGCGCTTCTTAATCCCGGTTGCACAGCTGCAGTCAGGCGATCATGCCTAGCTAACGTTTCGTCAATAGAGGAGAATTCCAGCAGCGGGGCTCGAAAGAGGGAAGTCTTTGGCCTCCATGCGGTTTGAACAAATAGCGATGACGGGCAGAAACCCTTGTTGCGCACAAGACGACACACGGAACGCTCGGCTCCCATTCCTCCTCCCATCGTTCTTGCCACCACAGGAGTGTTTGTGTGGCCGATCGCTTCACCGTTGTAGCTGATGCGTCCTAGACAAGCTGGAGGAAAGATGGAACAGCAAAAATACACATTCGAAATCGAAAGAGCTATCTCCTGTGTGGCCGTCCTCTTGTTTACCCCGCCAGATACGTCAGAAATGTGCACCGAAAGGCGTGTGCACCGGCACCGGAACAGACTCGACGAACACACACATCGTTGTTGTTGAATGGCAGTATGGGTATCTCAAGCCTGCCTTTTTTTCTCACTAAACACATACCGTTGTTGTTGAATCGCAACACGTGTGTCTCGAAGCCGGCCCATTTTTGGTTCACTTCGTCCGTCGCATCCCCCCCCCCCCCCCCCNCCCCCCCCCAGCCTCCTCTGTGTCTTGAAACCGCGATGGCCGGCCGGAGCTCGGACGGGTTCGCCGGGGGGGTCGCTGCGATGAACCAAGACAGGAGGTCGAAGGGCTCGGCGGCAGCAGCAGCGGGACCGCTGGCGTGCCCGGTGCTCATCACCTACGGGAAGTGAGATACTTATAAGACAAACAAGCATCATCGTAAATGTTCACATCTAGATTGTTAGTAGGGGTGCTGAGAGCTTACGCTGCTTTGAACCGTGTCTGGCCAGAAGACAAAAGAAACAAATCAGTGGGGGGATTTTAGTACGACGAACAAGCGTAATTGTTATTTAGACTTTTTGAAAGTAAGACGAAGAAGGTTTTGTATTGTTTCTGATCTGGGACAAAACTGTTTTTTTGGAGACCCACGGGCACGCAGTGTCTGCTGTTCGGTTGACGTTGTGCGGCACGGTACGGTTGTCGCATGCACGGTACGGTTCGCGGTTTTGGAGTACCGTAACAGCAGTGCGGGCGAACACACAGGTGTGCCATCGTTCGATTTTGTACAATCGATTGCTGCGCAACCAAGAGGGTGCCCTAACTCCGACCGACACTCCCAAGAAAAGCTAGCTCTTGACGAGATCGTTTTTTTCATACCACCCTTGCTTCGGTATTGGCAGCCAAGACGCCAAAGCCTCATGGTCGTTCTGCTGTGCCCCCCCCCCCCCCCCCCCCCCCCCCCCCCCCCCCCCCCCCCCCCCCCCCCCCCCCCCCCCCC